TGTACTGTATGCCTGCTTTTTCTATTCTGGAATGGCAATTTTAATTATCAAACAATGTTGGAAGGTAGAAAAGACACATTCATTTTCAAAAGCATTACATGCCATTTCACTTTCACACAACCATTGATTTTACAGTAATTCCTTCAGCCTTGTCAACCTCTCTGGTCACCTACCAAACGATCATCCTCAAAGAAACAAGAAAATCAGAGCAGGGGGTGTGTATGTATAAAAAGCAAATTTCTTCACTTTCTTTTGCAACTAAATAAAACTGCCCTGTCACATTTTCACCACCATATAACGATCATAGTATCATTATGCTAACACAAATCGACCAACAATTTTAAGGTGATTTACAGTAATATGAGATAGGAACAAGTAAAGGTTTATTCCATGCTGAAAAGTGAAGAAAAGAAACAGAACGTTTTGGCTGTTAAGCCTTCTTCAGGTGTGCAATATGAGATACCTAATTAAAGGCAGACAAAGTATACATATTGCCCATCAAGTGTAGAGAGGTATAACTATTGTGGAAATTATCTTTGTGATGCATTCCAGGTTGACAAAGCAATAATGAAGCCATTGTTTCCTATGGTGGCACAAAAATGATGCCACGTCAAAATAAGATGGTCTTCTGTGTGGAGCTATGAGATCACCTGAGGCTCTGTTGCATTGAAGGTAACAATAAAAGGCATTGTATAGCTTTGTTTGAAGTTTTTTCAACATCCATCCATCGTCTATCCATTTTCTAACTGCTTCATCCACTTTGAGATTGTGGGAGAGCTGGAGCCTATCCCAGCAAGCAACAGACACAAGGCAGGATACACCCTGGATGGGACGCCAGTCCATCAGAAGACACACACAGAGAAGCACACACTCACACCAGGGCCGATTTTCCCAGAAGCCTATTAAACCAGTATCTCTTTGGACAGTGGGAAGAAGCTGGATCACCTGGCAAAAACCATGCAAACATGGGGAGAACATAAAAACTCCACACAGATAGCATCCCAGGTCAAGAATTGAACCCAGGGCCCCAGCACTGTGAGTCTGCAATGGTAATCCCTACACTACAGTGCTACCATCTTTAAACATTTGAGGCAAAATCATGTAATTACAGTATGTCATTTTCTTAACCATGGACCTCCTAATCAGATTTGCCCATTATTTGTCAGCTTATGGCATTGAATTTCCAGTCTGTCCGATTTCACAAGTTCAGCAAGGCTAGATCAGCAGTTCAAGCTGCAACAGCAACTAAACACTCCAAGAATCTGAAAGACGCTCTGTCCTCAGTGACATTAGAATACTTACAGCATGGGTTTTAAAGGCTGATGAAGAACTATTTTGTAGTAAACTGAAGACTGTGCTTTGTTGTTCACCATAGTAAGCAAAATATCAGAATAGTAAGCTAGTTTGATTGTTATGTCATAACATAGCAGAAAGAAATGAAGAGAGAAAACACCTAGTAATAATATTAATATTTAAAGCAACAGGCATAACATGCTTTTTTATTACACCATGTTTATATCAGTATGAACTTGAGATAATATTACTGTAATTTAAATGGTGTGAGCATCTATTACAAACTGAAAATGATTTGTTTTCACTTCTGGTATATTTCTAAAGCTAACAGAAAATGACTGGCCAACTATTGAATCACCTTGACAGAATATCTTTAAATACTCTGCTGCCATTCCTGAACTCTGTCCTATACAGGCAGTCTGTTTAGCATTCTTATTCTACATTCTAATATTGTTTAAAATTCCAACTGGAGCTCTAAAATTCTAAGGACCTTCTTTAGGACCAATTTTATTTTTCCCAACCACTAAAAGGTTTCACCTTCATCCAGAGTTTGAAACAAGAGTTTGCTTAAACTTTGATTGTATAGTTAAAAGCATTCAAAGCTGTGTGAATTGAAGTGGCAAGCAAGCAGCCCCTAAATGTAATATTTAAGCTTGTCCATTTGGAAATCTGCTTTAACTCCAAGACAGACTCCTTTCACATGCAGACGTTGTTATATCAGATAAAAGGATAACTTTGGCAGTTATTCAAAGACACAGACAATACGAATAACTTAGCCTTTAGCCTTTCTCTAGCACTTCAGTTTTACTAGGATGACTATATGTACAATACTGGAAATGCTGCAAATGCAAATGCATCTCCCACACAGAACAAGGTCACTTTTTTCCCCTGTCTCATTAAAAATGCAGATTGCTCACAAAGCCCAAGATTAGGAGACCAGAGAAACAATTAATTATTGATTATAGCAACAGTCTAGGACAATGCTATGGTGTCTTTTATAGAAAAAGAGTAGGCATTTTCAATTTTATTTTGTCACTTAGAGGTGATGCAATGTCTGCTTAGATGAACCATGTCCCTGTCTCCAAGATCATAATAGGACACAACAGCAAGACAAGGGGATACACTGTAGCTACTCATGGGATAATTGTCTATTTTAAGAACAGGCAAGGGGTGGCCCAGTACAATCACTGAACTGGTCGAGAGCATTACCAGTTTGCTTCACCTTGAGGAGCAGACACTTGGAAATAATGACTGCAGCAAATACTCTCAACACATCAAAAGAGGCTATTATAGTTGCTACACATGGGAGAGAGGTTTATATAGTCTGTGTATAAGTCACACTATTGAGAGAAGTGATGCATCACTGGACTTAACAGATGCAGCATTCTCAATGAATGAATGGACGTGTTCACATCATATCAACTGTAACAGAAGAGTCCTCCTGTTGTTTCAGTCTTGTGATTGTTAATTAAAGTACAGTAGGAGCAATTTATTTTTCCAACACATAATAACTGTATTTAAGTTTTGGGACTCATTAAGCTCCACCCAAACATACAAAGGTGCCTCTTGTCTAGAAAAGTCAGAAGTAAATTCACTTTTTAAGACACATCCTTGGGCTATTGACGCTGATAGCTTAGTCATTGTCATATCTAAATGATAATAGACTAACTACTGTAGGCTTGACGCACCCTGTGTGTTTGGTGGCTGATTTTCATGTCAAACATAAAATATTTTTTACCTCTAAATCATCTTACAAAAATGTCACTATATGACTGCTTCAGCAGCCTATATATTCATAAGGAAACAAACTAAAATCATGTTTCATAATCTATTAAATTATGTTTTTGTCCATGTAGGGAAGCTTCCAATACCTAAGTTTAGTTAGGAAAGCAATTGAAATGTTTCTAATGGTAGAGATGCTGTTACACAAAATTATTTTTATTAATATCGACACTATCTGAATATTATTCAGCTTGTCTTGTTTTGGAAAATAAATATGTCTCATGATGAACTCCCTCCTGTATATAAAAAGCAGATCTTAAGTGCTATATACCTTCCTCACCAAAGGATGAAGCATTAAAAAAGATAAACAAATAACTTTTTGGTTAGAACTAGTCCAAATTTTCCACAACCTGATCAGAGCATGTTAGTTCTACATGAATATGTGTATTTATTAAGTAACTTTATAAATCTTACTAAAGGATGGCTATTTAGTTACACACTCAAGATAATAGATTTTTCATATGATAAGACTGTTAGATACTGTAACTTCACTGATTTGTTACAATAAAACAACAAGAACATTATTTCCTCTAGTCGTAGACATTGGGCATTGAGCTAATTAGCATGGGAATGTTGCTTTAATATTCAGTGCGCCTCCCTTGGAAACGCAGTACAGATCCGTGTTGCGGCATGTTTTATTATAACTGCATATCATATTTTATGATTGTGTTCTGTTGAATTAATTGCTATATATTTTCTAACGTGATCTTTCGTTTTATGGATGTTAACCTCTGTTGTTTGCCTTCTCTTTCTGTTTGTCTTCCTCAACATGAATCATTCTTTAAAACGCTTGTGCACTAACAACTTAAAAATAGTTTCTATGTCTTACGACCGTCTAGACTAATTAACCTGGCTTTTTGCCATCAGAGCCACTTGCGTTTCACCATATTTTATAACATGCGCCATGATGCCTTCGTGACATCTAAGGAGATAATAGTGTCGCAGGTCTGTCCCCTGCAAAAATGTGAGCTGTTATTAAGAAACACTTAGTATACTTCGCAAAAATGCAATGCGCGCTTTTATAGACAGAAATTTAATATTCTAAACTTTCAAAAAAACATACACAGCGGGTAAGACTTATCACGTTTCCAGACCAACGGGTGTATAACGCAACCTGCAGGTTTTTTATTCGTTTTTGATTAAATGCCACCTATTACAGTTCATTCAAAGAAATACCCTGCTCTCCCCTTTTCTCACTGCCACCTCCACAACAGGTTTCCATAACAACCTCGATTTGAATTTCTATAACCTTCTATATATAGAAACATCGCTTCAGATTGAATGCAAAACATGAGTATCCTTTGTATAGTGTTTATTTACAGGTATAAATGTCTCGATGTATTTTATTCCAGTATGCAGAAAGTTTTTTATATTAAATTAAATGTATTGCAGCCTCCTATATTGGCCAGAAATCCTGTCTAATGACAGTAACTACAGGCTGTCTGGGGTGACTTTAATGAAATGTCCGTAAATTGGAGTTATGACTGACTGCATCACGATTAACTAACTCACTGTTATTATAGGATCTTTATGTTTATGCTGAGCAATGCAGAGTGCATGCATGTAAAACGCGAAACATTGGGGGGCGGGACTGCCTTATTATATATATACTGAAAGCATTGTCATAAATCGTAGTTCTATTTGGCATTCTGCTATACTCAAAAACACGGGAAAGTGAGGCTCTTTATTGCACGATTTAATCTTAGAAGGTGACAGTGTGGCTCCCTAGCTGGGTTTGAAAATTAATAAACTGGGTCCACTTGAACTTCATTATTCATTTGGAATACGAAGGCGGTCAACTATAAGGGGTGATAACTACTACAGAAAATACTGTGATATACTATTCAAATTTAGCATCTTAACTCTCATTTGTGCTTTGAAGAGTTCGTTCCGTTTATGTTACTGATGCTTTACCAGTATCTTACCCTCGCAGTTCTGGAAGAATAGGGATCCTCAAACAGAGCCCAAATCACCGGTTGCCACTTTTTCCAGCGACTGACATTGCCTTCGGGTGACACCACGTCCTCAATGCCAAGCCTCTTACTCAATTCTTCGTCCTCCCCTTCTCCAACCCCAGGTTCCCCGCTTATTTCAAAAATATCGAGCGCCTCCTCCGCGTCCCTGTGCTGCCGGTAGGTCATCCAGCAGCAGGGTTCCACATCGGTCTCATCGATACCCCAGAAAGCCAGCTCTTCCTCGAAGAGCGGACCGCAGACATCGGCAGGGCAATGAAGTTTCCCGGTTCTGTAATAGTTGAGTACATAGGCAAAAACCCCAGGGTGGCGGTCAAAAAAGTACTCGTTGTTCTTCGGGTTGTACTCGATGTAGCCAGGGACTTGTTGCTGCTGATCCACCCCGGACTCTATATCAGACTCGGAAGCGAGCAGAGCTAGCCGTGTGCCCGGCAAGGTCTTCAGTGTGTTCCGATACGTTTCGTGCCTGGTTCCCCCAACATTGAGGATTATCCTCTCGTTGTCGTCGATCTTGCCCATCGCTCCGGATCAGACATGACTCGAAAAAAATGGGAGATCGCAGCTTTGTCTACCCTTTTTTTCCCCCTTCTTTTTCTTTTAAAAAGTAGTCTATGTAAAAGCCAGTTGAGTACCTCCCACTTCGGTAAGATCAGTAAACGCCATCGAACGTGATACTCGTCAAAAGAAAATTGCTTTCATTTTGTTAAACGTTCAATTGAAAGCCTTGTGTATTATTGCATTGCTGTAGGTAATCTGAAGGAAAAGAAAAATCCGTTTACTGCACGTCAGACTTCCCCTGGTTTCTCCCTGTGCAAATGATCTCAGGCAACAGCTCTCTTTGCGAGCGTGCTGTGCTGTTTTGCCTGTATCAGTCCCTTCCCTTTCTTCCCCTCTCTCGCACACAAGCAGGTGAAGTCAAACGGAATGATATCTCTGCTCACTATTGATCAATCACCTTCTCCTTTTTCACTCTTGGGATTTTATGAGCCTCTGTGTTTCGAAATCATCAAATACTCTTCGCTTTTGCAACTCAATTTGCTTCTTTTATCCTGAAATCAAACCAGGGCACACCCCATGAAACATATCTTTCACCCGTGGTTCTTTAAAAAGGCGTTTTATAAATTAAGAGACGTGGCATAAGACAGGCAACTCTTTTTTTTCCCTGTCTGTTGAAAATATATCTAATGAGTTCTTAGACCGCCTTAAAATTATACACAGCATTATGAAAAAACGAAATTCATAGCCTATAGCTCATAGGAAACAAAAGTAGTTTCAAGAAAAAAAAAACTTGTTTTTTTATTAAATGTATATGTTCTTGCTACGAGTAGAGTAATATTAATTGTTAGGGGTATTAAGAAAACAGAACACGTTTTGGTTTAAGAGCTCTAGAGGGTAACTACAATGGTTTATATGTGGAGGCACATAGCCTTCTTTTATTGTTTCATTGTAGTTGAGCGGTTTCAAATATCAGTTTGTCCGCTTGTTTATGTCGCAAGATTCATGATATTTAATAGTGCTTCTCACAAATATTTATGTTTTCTGAAATATTTATAGATTAATCACCGGAATACGTATAGGGGAAAAACCCTTGCACTTCACTGCAACGAGGGAGCTGTTCTTTCAGCACTGCCCAATCTATTTCTGCTGCTTTAATTTTACAGAAAACAGAAGCCAACACCCAAGCCAGCGTTTCCAGACTAGAGCCTTTTTTTTTCACCGAAGCCTTACTCTCTAGACTCACCGAATGTTTCCGTCACCGTAAGAGTGTTGTTTTGAACAGATGGAGAAGAGGCGACCTTTAACTACAGGTGTTACTCTTGTCAGCAACTGGGAACTCTGCGCATCATTGAATATTACCGCAACATTGTGGGTTCAGATTGGCAAAAAGGCCAAAGATACATGCTAGTATGTATTTAACAGCAACAATAAAATAAGCATACACCAAAAATATTTTATTCATTGGAAACACCTAGACTGGTTTTACTTAAGCCTTTTCACTTAAGAGGTTGGATAAAAACCTAGGAATGCAAAAAGCCTGAATACTTTGTTCTAATAGTTTACGGTATTAAAAATATTAACACTTTATGAGTGTGACTTAAATTGCAAGTAATTTACAATGTAATTGTATGTAAATAACCACAATTTCTCTTCATATTAATGTGTTTTATGTAATACCAATATAGATAATAAAACAACGGCAAAGGAGTACACATTTTGCAGTACACAAAAAAAACAAGAATGTGTTAATCCCTTTATTCATAATTATGCATTTGTGCTAGTGCAATAAAATATACTATTTCAGAACATCCTGCAATATACAGTTTTGTCTGTTGTTTATTTAAGTTCTTGTTTTTTTACTAAAAAATATCACAGGGCAAAACAGTTACCAGTGTTTTTATTGATAAAGGAGTTCTATGAGCATGGAAACGCCTACACTTGAAAAGAGCAACACGATCTCCTAATAAATTCAAGTGGCTATACTTCACGAAATTCATTCACTGGTTAATAATTCAATCCCTGGCATAATGCATTCTATTTATTAATACAGCTAACAGCAAAAGGCTAATTTGAATTATTTTTACTTTGTATAAATGGATAAGTTTCAACCATTCAAAATGACCACTTCATCTGTATGTCAAGAGCAGTATTGCAAAGAAGTATACCAGATGAAGCCTCATTCTACTGTCAGCCCAGCTCCAAACAAGATGTTTTTAATGAATGATTGATTTTGAAATGAGATGCATGGAAAAAAATGGAATTTGGTAGAAATCAGAGAGGCATGTCATGAGGAGTGATGGTTAAATTTCCAATTCAAGCCAACACATTATGGCCTGTGTGTCACGATTGTAAGTAAGCCCCTCCTCTTAAGGACGCTCCAGCCCTGTCCCCGGTTCTAGCCCCCTTCCTACAAAAGCCAGACGCGCCTACTAATCTGGGCTCAGCTTTGGAAGATGGACACCTGGAAGCCCGCCTACCAGCCAGTCCAGGAGGGGTTTGACGGCATAGGCTTCGGAACGGCGTCCTGACCATCTGGGTTCGGGGCTAGGAGCGCCTGGCCCCGTTACCCTCTTTTATTCCCCCGACACTTCGCCGGATTCCGCTCCCCCTTTTAACTTTGTCTTGTCTACGTCATGACCAACAGGCGCTGGACTTTTGCATTTCCTGGATTTTCTTACGGACCCCCTTCGGACTTGTTTGCCTGGACCATGCCCCCCCGAGCACCGGCGCACCTTGGTCACGTCCCCCTGTTCTTCTTCCAGCCCTGATCCCAGTCTTTTTTCCTCATTTTTGTCTCACTCCCCTCCGGATTCTGGCATCTGCATAGGGTCCTGAAGAACACTTAGTGACACTGTGCAACTCTGGATACCCAAAGCCAAAAGAAAAGGCATTTGACGTTGTGGAGAAAAAAAACACACACACGTTCACAAGATGGATTGTGAAGAACACCAGACACAATCTTTTTTCGGGCCAGAAAAATAGACAAGGATGTAATTTTGGCATTCAGACGGTCACAAAATATTACTTAGAAAGGAATTGTACTGTAACTCCTATTTTTTATGAGGGAATAATGCTTCTTAAGAAGGAATGGTGCAAGCCTTTGTCAGTTAATATCTGTCCAAAGAGTGATATTTGTAATGGATGATATTCCCTGCATCAAACCACCTGTGCAGCACAAACATAATACAATGACAGTGAAGACATCACATCAACATCACTGAAATGTTTGTTATGTCTTTGTTTTAATGAGTCATATCACACTCTCACAATACCACACGCAAAGAAATTAATCAATTAGCGCTTCATACTCAGTAATTAGTGGCAAAAAATTGTATTCTGCTTCTAAAGTTGGAGGTTTAAAGTATTATATCGACACTATAAACAAAGATGTTTCATATAAAATCTGGTCTTAAATGACATACCAGATGTTCACCTTGAGGAAAGCACTTCCCAATGATGTTATGTTGACTTATATAATATAAGAAGGTTGAGAAACAGGCAAATGTTCTGGTCAAAAGTCTTAGAGAAAGTATAAAGCAAAGTAAAACACCTACAGGCTGCCACAAAAACTGTCATTAACCCATCTTATAGAACAAGCAGGACTGAAATAACAGTAAGTCATGTTTATATATTATTATAGTAATAATTTAAACACCCAGTGAGTATGATATACCCTTCTACACAGGATTAATAATGAGTTATGAGTATGAAAAGGCATTTTTAGAAGCCTTAAAGAAAGGATGAATTAAAAAGACCTACATCAACATCAGTAGCATTAACAAGCAGACAACATCTTCAATAAGATCACACAAGGACAAGAAACAAAATCAAGAAAGATGTCTACCAAGGGGATATGTAATACCAGAGCTCTTTACAATTATATTGAAAGTTGTTTCTAAGGCACTTAGGTTAAAGGAAATGGTCTAAAGATTAATAGAGCCTAGCTAAATTATATACAATTTGTTAACGACATAATCGTGTTTGCCCCAATCTCAGAAGAAACAGAATTTCAAGAACTACAAGAAAATAGCGTTCCTGAAAATTATCTAAAGTGATATTTACAGGAATCGTGCTTTTTCCAAGGAAATTGAAGTAATTTAATTAAAGGCATCAATAACCTAAAAAAGGTTAAAAAGGCCTATGCATTAGGCCCAATTAAGTTTGTCAACATAAAGAATTGGAAAAAGAGCTCAAGGTTCTCAACATGAAGGTCATCTGTGTACCCGTATCTAAAATCAGGTGTGAAATCAGGATCTTGAATTCAACAATATTAATACCTAATAAGGAAACTACAGATGACCCAGTGGTGCATGTGTAAAGGTATACCTAGAAAAAACTAGAAGAACAGATAAGGAAGAGCAAATTAATTAATTCCTTACACTTATACAGTGCTTATCTGAACACTCCACTCAAAGCACTTTACAGGTAATGGGGACTCTTCTCAACCACCACCAATGTGCAGCACCACCTGATTAATGCAACAGCAGAAAATGTGTGCCAGAACCCTCACCACACATCAGCTATCAGAGGGGAGGTGAACAGAGTAACAAAACCAATTCATAGATGGGTATTATTAGAGGCCAAGATTGATTGGTAAAGGCCAGGGGTAAATTTGGCTAGGACACCAGATCAACACCTCTACTCTTTTTGAGAAACACCCTGAGATTTTTGATGACCACAGAGAATCAGGACTTTAGATTATGGTGCCTTTTTTACAGCATAGTTTCCCCATCACTACACTGGGGCATTTGAACCCACACAGACCACAGGGTGAGCGCTCCCTAATGGTCCCACTAACACCTCTTCCGGCAGCAACGTTAGCTTTCCTAGGAAGTCTCACATACAGGTACTGGCTAGGCTCACATCTGCTTAACTTCAGTGGGTTGCCAGTTGTGAGTTACAGGGTGGTTGGACCAGGAAAACAATGGAATGGATCTTAAAGGACAAAAATGAAATAGGAAGACCTTGTGCAATATGAAAAAATGAAATTAAGAGGTTTTCAAGAGCTGTTTGGATGAATTCAGCTAGAGACTAAGCTTGTAGGACAATCTTGGGGAGGCCTCTATTAAGCAATTAATTGAAAAGGAATACTCATTTATGTGATCTTGATAGTAAGATATACAATAAACAGCATATTTAACACAAAATTCAGATGAAAATACGATACCATTATCATTTTCAGGAGTTTCATAAATACAGTCAAAACATTTAGCAATTACAGAAAGCTTTGACTATGATTGTGTCTCAGTGTAGTGTAGCCGTATCCTGACAGTGCTCTAGTTACTCTTTTGTCCTTCATCTCAGATGGCAGTTCTATTATTCAAAAGATTGTAGCTGGACATGATACAGGGCTATATTTAAAGTTTATATCCTGCGTTAGGAGCTGAACAGACCCTTAAATGGCCTGAGGCATAAAAGCTAATCAATTATATACTAAACAATTGCTCAGTTCATTTAACACTTTAGTGTTATCTATCATTGTTATCTATGGACTTGTAGATGTAAGTTTTGACATATCCTGTTATCCATGGAATCACTATTACTGCAGAATACGAGTAAGATAAACTCAGTTTGTATGACCAATGTCTCACTTTTCTTTGCATTAGTACTCTTTGAGATTTTGACTAGATGTCCTTCTTAACCACTGTTTCCTAATTTGGTATCTCAAGCATTAATCTTAACTGGTTGTCTTCCTGCCTCTCTGATT